ATATATATATATGTATATATATATATATATATATATGTATATAAAATCTCTGCCCAAAAGTGGTTAAGAAAGACAAATAAACAAGTAAAATGTGTAGTATGTCAGATGGCGATAAGGGGTATCAAGAAAATTAAGCAGGCAAAGAGTACAGATAATGTCTAGGGAGAAGTTAGGGATTAAAATCACCGATATCAGGAGAGACATCTAATAAACAAGTAAATCAAAGAAAATAAAATAAAATTCTTTAAACTATGAGACATTCTATGAAGAATAAAACAGGATTCTATAAGAGAGTAAGAGAAGAAGCAAAAGCTACTTTAGACTGAGTCTGAAGTCTAAAATTGCTGAGGTAATTTTAACGTTGAAAAAGTGTTAATCATGAAAATAAGGTCACACAGCTGATAAATGGCAGAGCCAGAATATGAATCCAGGTATCTGGCTCTGAAGTCCATGGCCTTAACCACTACCCAATGCTGCTTCTCTAAAGAGTAGAATCACACCAAGATGTGAGCTTCATGTCATTTAAATAATGATATTCTAAGGAAGATTCTAAAAATCATGAAAACTAGAAAACCAAATAGATAAGAGAAGACAGATTCCTCAGGAATCTTTTAAGAGCATGAAGAAAACGGAAAATCTATATATACTAAGAATCTTTTCCTTAGGTGAATAAATGTTGTATTTCTTACCTTAACACCTATTGCAACAATAAGGTGCTTGGGAAATTGAGAGCTATCAAAACAATAGAGACATTTTTCCATTTGTGCAGCAAGACTCTGGTGCTCAGCAATAGCTTTTTTCCTCTGGTTCTCTTCCTCTTCACCAAGACTTTCTCTCTCAGCTGCTTTGGAAACAAACATGTCATCCAGAGTGTAATAGTCTCCATCGGTTTTTCCCATAAACTAGAAAAAAATAAAATAGGCTAAGAAGGCAGTGGTTAAGATTTTATTGTCCTGTAGCATCCTAAAGTCATATTTCTAAGTTCTATGAGAAACCCTTATGTTAAAATGAAAGAAAATTGAAATTTAAGTTTTGACCTTCAAGGGCTAATCAATCCATCATCATCATCATCATCATCATCACAGCTAAAGTTCACTGAGCATTTACTATATGCAATTTACTGTTTTATATTCCTATGAGGCAGGGACCGTTATCAATTCCATTTCACAGACAAGGAAACTGAACTACAGAGCAGTTAAGCAACTATTCTCACTTTGAAAATTAATATACACCCTATATGGAACATAAAACATTTTTCAATTATACCTCTGGGTGCCTTCCCCACACCTCCCTCAACATACATTATGAAAAGACTGATGTTTTTAAAACACAAAACACAAATTTTATTTACTTATTTTATTCATGTCTCTGCTTAAAATCTTCAAAGAGCTCTATGTCGTCCACTGGATCAAGTTCAAACTCAAGTTTGGCGTACCAAATCACAGACATGGAAACGTAGAAAAGTTAAAAGCTTGGGTTCTACATCCAGAATGTTGTTGTTGTTGTTAGGTGCCATCGAGTTGGTTCCAACTCAAAGCAACCATACATACAACAGAATGCTGAAATACTGCCTGGTCCTGTACCATCCTCACAATTGTTGCTATGTTTTACGTCATTGTTACAGCCCCCGTGTCAATCCATCTCACTGAGGGTCTTCCTCTTTTTCGCTGATCCTCTACTTTACCAAGCATGACGTCCTTCTCCATGGACTGGTCCCTCCTGATAACATGTTCAAAGTACGTGAAGTCTTGCCATCCTAGGAGCATTCTGGCTGTACTTCTCCCAAAACAGATTTGTTCATTCTTCTGGCACTCCACGGTACATTCAATATTTTTCGCCAACATCATAATTTCAAGCCATCAATTCTTTTTCAGTCTTCCTTATTCATTGTCCAGCTTTCGCATGCATATAAGGTGATTAAAAATATCACAGCTTGGGTCAGGCTAACCCTAGTCTTTTGCAGCAGATTTGCTGAATGCAATATATCGTCTGGTTTCTTGACTGCTGTTTCCATGGGCAATGATTGTGAATCCAAATAAAATGAAATCCTTGATATTTTCTCTATTTATCATGATGTTGCTTATTCATCAGTTATAAGGATTTTTGTTGACCAGGGTCAAATTCTATTTTGCCATTAACTGCTTATGGGGCAAGTTATTTAATCTCTCTGTGCCCTCTCAGGAGCCCTGGTGGCTCAGTGGTTAACAGCTTGAGTTCTAACCAAAAGGTCAGCAGTTCGAATCCACCAGCTGCTCCCTGGAAACCCTATGGGGGCAGTTCTACTCTGTAGTATAGGGTCACTATGAGTTGAAATCGATTGTACGGCAATGGGTTTTTTTGGGGGCCCTCTCTATTCCTATTTCCTCATTTTACAATGGGGTTATATCACTTGATCCTCACAATGCATACCTAGCACACAGTAAGGACTCAGTAAATGTGAGCCACCATTGTCATTACAAGTCTCTTCGTAATCTGGCTTTGATGCCCTCTCCAGATACGTATTATCACACTCATACTCAATCTCCATGGTCTAGTCACCCTATTTTCAGCCCCTAAAAGCACTGTTACCTTCAGACTTTGTACATACTGCTGTTTTCTCAATTCTGTCCTCACTTTTGCCTTTCCACACCTACTCATTTTTCAATACCAGGCTTGATTTAGTTGTTACCACCTAGAGCTTCCAATCTCTCCAATGTATATTTGTACCTCCATCAATCTCATGATGACAACACTTCTTTGGTGAAGTGCCTGTTCATAATGATAAAGGAGTCATACCATCAAGAGGACATAACAATCCTAAAAGTTTATGCACCTAATAACAATTTCAAAATACATGAAGCAAAAATTGATAGAATTTCTAGGAGAAACAGACAAATCCACAATTGTAGTCAGAGATTTAAACACCCCTCTCTCACTAATGGATAGAAGCAGACAGAAAATGAATATACAAATAGAACACTCAAACACACAACAGTAGAATACACCTTCTTCTCAAGTGCACATGGAATATTCACCAAGACAGACCACATTCTGAGTCATAAAACAAGTTTCAATAAATGTAAAAGGATTCAAGTTACATAAAGTTTGTATTCATAATATAAATGGAATTCAACTAGAAATTGTTATGAGAACATCTCTGGAAAATTTCCAAGTAGAAACTAAATAACACACTTCTAAACAACCCATGGATTAAGATGAAATTTAAAAAAAAAAAATTAGAAAGTATTTTAAACTAAAATAAAACAAAAACACAACATATGAAAATTTGTGGGATGCTGCTAAAGCCATACTTAAGAGGGAAATTTATAGACTAAACACCTATGTGAGAAAGCAAGAAAGGTTTCAAATCAGTGATATCAGTTTCCACCTTAAGAAACCAGAAGAACAACACAGGAAACCCAATTTAAGCAGAAGAAATTTTCTAAAATGTCATTCTTGAGAGAATCAGGTAAAAAGATTATTAGTAAGGCATTTCTTATAGAACACTCGCTTCTTTGTCTTCCACCTTTTCTCCGTATTAATCACTGCATACCTCTCTATTGTTTCAGGTTTGTCTATTTAAATGAAAGGCTCTATTTACTAACTAGATAGTAGATAAGAATTATCTTAGGTGAAGGGAAGACAGCACACACTACAGGGGAAGTCAGCACAACCGGACCAAACCAAAGCTAAGAAGTTTCCTGAATACAATCAAACACTTTGAGGGACAGAGTAGCAGGGGTAAGGGTCTGGGGACCATGCTTTCAGGGGACATCTAGGTCAACTGGCATAACAAAGTTTATTAAGAAAATGTTCTGCATCCTACTTTGGTGAGTGGTGTCTGGGATCTTAAAAGCTTGCAAGTGGCTATCTAAGATGCATCAATTGGTCCCAACCACCTGGAGTAAAGGAGAATGAAGAATACCAAAGACACAAGGAAAGTATTAGCACAAGACACAGAAAGGGCCACATAAACCAGAGACTTCATCAGCCTGAGACCGGAAGAACTAGATGGTGCCCGGCTACCACCAATGACCGCCCGGACAGGGAACACAACAAAGAGTCCTAGATGGAGCAGGAGAAAGGTGGGGTGCAGAACTCAAATTCTAGTAAGAAGACCAGACTTAACGGTCTGAGACTGGAGGAACCCCAGAATCTCTATCAGCCCAGAACTAAAACAATTTCTGAGGCCAACTCTTCAGACAAGGATTGGACTGGACTGTGGGACATAAAGGGATACTCGTGAGGAGTGTGCCTTTTAGCTCAAGTAGATACAAGAGACTAAATGGGCAGCTTCTGTCCGGAGGTGAGATGGGAAGGTAGAGAGGGTTAGGAGCTGGGTGAACGGACTTGGGGAATCAGGGGTGGAAAGGAGGAATGTGCTGTCACAGTATGGGGAGAGCAATCAGAGTCACATAACAATGTATAAATTTTTGTATGGGAAAAAATTAAAAAAGAATAAATGAAAGTCTCTATCTTAAACATTATTTTAACTTGAGACCTTTACCTCAACCATAATTCATTATATTTTGAAAAACGTCAGAACTGATCGCTTATCATTTTCACGGTAATAGTGACCAACTATGTGTAAGGTATTACTAGAAATCTAAAGTACTACTCTATAATCCAAATATCTCTACAAAACAGTAATTGTTATTATCACTTGATAGATTAAAAGAAAAAAACAAGGTTCTGAGAGACTGAGTAACTTAATCAAAATCACATGGCTATTAAGAGAGACAACCAGGAACCAAAGCCAGGTCTGTCTTACAATAAACTGAAATGCACGTGGCATCCCTTAAGAAACCCATCTTCAAAATATTGAAAGGGTATATTTTAAATATAGTCTATGAAGTAGAACAGAGAGAAGAAAATTTAAACTTCATCTAGAATAAACACACCCAATCAAGTTAAGGTACTTATCATAGATAGCTAACAGGTATTTATCCTATCTAAACTGTATCAGGAGTAGTATATGCACTTGTATATAAAAAACCATGTCTTCCTATGATATAGCCCATTGCCAACGCAATCAGTTCATAAATATTAGGGAATACATTCAATTCAAATCAAATGGACACGGAGGACAGGATCTATATTCCCTGGATGTTGCTGAACTTGTCTGATTTTTTACAGTGTTTGAATTAAATATGGCACAAAAAACCCGTTGCTATCAAGTCGATTCCAACTCACAGCAACCCTACAGGACAGAGAAGAATTGCCCAATAGGGCTCCCAAGGAATGGCCACTGGATTCAAACTGCCAACCTTTTGGTTAGCAGCCAAGCTCTTAACCAGTGCACCATCAGGGCTGCAAATACGGTACACAGTATTGCCAGTTAGACCTGAATGACTCTCCAACACAACTGAAATATGGTTTTCATATACCCAAGAACAAGAACTATCATTCTCTCCTCTGACAGCTTCTAATTTATTTGCATTTTTCCTATTATCTTCTCTTCAGGGTTTGATCCAAAAATCTAAATCTGTAGGGAGAGTCATTCAGTTTAGTAGGTCATTACCAGCCTATGTGTAGATGTAGATGTAGATCAAAACGATTATAGTTTAATTTACCTCTTCTTTGACCTTCAGCCCACCTTCCTCACTATAGACAAGAATAATCAACATTATTTTAATGGTTAGACTGTTAACAGATAATGGAAGATGTATTAAGTTAAAGAGGGGAAAAGTGAACAAAACTGCTGGAGGAAAAGAGGTAAGGAAAGAGAACAGGGGCATGAAAACACGCCTCTTACTCCTTTAGATAGAATCCCAAAGAAAGTTGATGATTTTGTATAAGTCCAAGATGGTGCAGCATAAATCTTAAAACTTGAAAATCTGTTTTCCAAATAAATCTGAAACTGTGGTAAAGTGGTTATAAGAATTAAAACAAAGGAGATGAATGAAAGAGAATTAGGAAGAAA